ATTATCTTTTGTGGTTTATAAATACAGAATAAAGAATAAGGTATAGTTTGGATGAGTCTGAACAACAGATGTTTCTACTTTATGAATTCTGGTCAAATCATTGGGAAAGAGTTTTATTTATACAATAAACATCTGCATTTTGGAAAATTAAACTAAAAATTATTTTATCATTTTCTCTAATAGCTTGGGACTTACGTAAATCTATTAAGTTGACCTTAAATAGAACTGAAGGTGATAGTAGAGGTGTTTAAAATAAGTTTGGATAGTTTTTACGCATGTAAATCTATAACATACCTCTACCAAAATCTAATATTTAAGAAGAATTAATGGAAATTACCTACGAAAAATTTGCATAATCAGTTTCAGCTTGATAAAATGTGATGGGGTATACGTATTCTTATTGAAATCCCCTCTAAAGCATAATGGAGATTTTAAACAAAATTAATGTGAATATACAATCTAAATAATATATTTGTGTCATAGAATTTTAGAGTTGGAATCTAGATATATATATAGATATATATATATCTAGAGAAAGAGAGAGACTGTTCTGTGTGTGTATACATATATACACACACCCTATACATATATACACACACTACATATATGTGTGTGTGTGTGTGTGTGTGTGTAGTGAGAGAGAGAGGGAGACTGTTCTGTTGATTTTAAATAGAATGGAAACATCACAACTCAGGATAATTTGCTTGTCAAATCATACACAGAACTACTGTTCTGCCAGGCAATTGTTGATCTTAATCTGCTGTTTTCACCATATGGGGTCTCTATATAGATTAATCTCCACATTTTTGGTCTAAATGTAGAAGACTCTATCCAGCTCTCACTTATGTGTATGAATTCAGCCTAATCTGTCTGGAAATTATCATCATCATCTTCATTATCAATAGTAGTATTCAAATTTGACAAATGCTCTCTATTTTCTAAGTCTTGGGCAAAAAGGGTCATTCTTAAATCTGAACAGAAATCTCATGACATAGGTACGATGATTCTTCCTGCCTAATAGATATAGAAACAGATACCAAAGCAGCTCACTCAAGATTATATGACTCATAAGTGGCAAAGCTGGTTTCTGAACTCTCATCTGACGTAATACAAACCCCAGAATACAAATATTATTTCAAATAATAATATTATTTTAAATATTTTAAATAATTTGTATTTTGAATAATTTGATTAAAGACCAAACACCTTGCCTTGTTTTCTAGAATAAATGCAAGCTACCAGCTCCTTGCACTAGCCTAGGCCAGTCTTGTAACTGAAATCCATTGGATTCAAAATCTATTCCTAGTACTTAACCTTCTTCTGAAAATTCCCTCATCTATAAATTTGAGGATGCTGATGGTTGCAAAGATGCCAGGGAAGTTTATAATCATTACTGAACTAATCCTTTTGAAAATATAAAGCGGAATTAAATGTTAATATTACTACTCTTTTTAATTAAAGTGGGAAACACGTCCAAAAAGTCTGTAACTAAGTTCATTACTCTCATTTATGCAGCTAAACTTAAGTCCTACCAAATGTATGTTTTAAGTTGATTAAAAATATGGTTGGCTGCATTTATAAATACCCATTATTAACATGCTATACTGGTAAATATATTTTTGCTCTTATGACTAGAGAGTGTTGTACTTTAGTCAAAAAAAAACCTCAATAATTATCTGCTCTCCTTCTATTTTTATTTGCAATAGATATGTATTTATTCATGCATTTGGATTCTTATTGAATGAAGGACGTTATGTCACTTGCATTGAGTACATAGGCATCCCTTTGACAAATAAAATCAGAATCTAAACTACAGAACCAGGTTAAAGTGGGTATAGGAGTACAATTTTAGTAAAGGCCAAAGTTTTGCTAGTGTTTCACTTAAAATTTATTTTTAAGCTTTCTGAATGTTCTCTTAAAGAAAAAGACTTAATTATGTACATACCTTTTTTGTATTGTTAACAGGGAAGAAACATACTAATATGAATGGCATTACCTACATTATATATGTTACACAAGAAAATTATATATTCAAGATAAACATTTTTATAATCACAATACTTCAATATAAATGTGTTCAATATAGTAAAGATGCAGGTTGTATAATTATTTGTCAAGCAAATTCTTCTCAGTTATGTTTGAATTCTATTTAAAATCAATATTAATGTTGACAATATTCATATTTAAGGCTTTTTAATTATTTAAATTGGTTCAAATTTGCTGTGTTCAGTATTATTAGTAGTAAAAGTAGGCTCTGGTAGTGAAAATATATTTTTTTAGCTCCCTTCTGTAAGTCTTTCCATTAAATGCTATAGTCTCACATTTTTACATGCCTCTCAGCACCTCACTGCTCTTGTTGCCTATAATATTTTATTAGTTTAATCCTTCTGAAATAATCCTGGTCATTCAAAACCAATACATCAAAATCTTTTAGAGTAAACAAAAGAAAAAACATTTGTGAAGATGAAAAGAAAAAGGAGACTTCTCAGATATAATAACTTTAAAGAATACATCTCAAAATGGTGGTTTGATACAAAGATAATTTAGATCCATCTACTTTGAAAAGATGCTTTCTTGAGAGTTGAAATTTTTTACACTCTTTTAAGTGTTTTCATCAAGAATTTCTTGCTAAGAGATCATTTGTTAGCTTTCAAGTTCCTTGAGGCCTGGGTCTGAGAGAATATCTGAACAGTGGGTGCTCAGTACAGGTTTATTGAATTGAACCAGAATAATGTCAGTCATATCAGAAAAAGAATAAGAGGGAAAAAGAAAGAAAGCAGAGCAAATGAACAGCTTTGGTTCTGACACTTGTACAAGTGCTGAATCGACAGCATATAGCCAGC